GTGAAGGATGGATGACTCTTAAGATTTTTAGGAATAGAGAATATAATGGGGATGGGTAATTGGATTGATTATTTGATGATTGAATATGATAATTGTATTACTGTGGGTTGAAAACCCTATATGCTCACTAGGCTCCCAAGCCTCACCCACTCAGTTTCCTTTGAATTATAGGTAGTGGCACAAGAGCATAAGTTGGCTGACATACCAAGACATTTTGGATCATAGGCCAGTAGTTATACATAACCATTGTAAGGTCTATTTTGTGTGGTTTATGCTTTTGGTCTGTATCGGAACATGATATCCCAAGATTTTGTTACATAATGAAAAATACATTTCTTTAAGAAAAGCTTTGATAAATTCTTATCATATTCTGTTTTAGGAAAAAAAAATTCTCAACAATTTTCTTTAAACGATTACTCTGATTTTAAAAACAAAGCAAAAACAAATCGGTCTTTTTTGGCCGTGCAATTGGGATATCACACTCGACGATTCACTCTAGTGACTCGGCCAGTTGGTGAGTTATGCATGGAACTCGGCGAGTAGCTGAGGGTACTCGATGAATTGAGGGCAACATGGGCTGTTGACCTTTGACAGTTGACTTTGACTTTGAACAAGGGTTGACCAGTTGAGTTCTGGGGACATTTTGGGAGATTGGAAATCTACAAGTATGGTTTTGTAATGAATATAGGTGGTGGAATTTGGGACGATAATCCAAGAGTTTGAGCTTATCTTACGAGTCGACATTTGTGAGGTGATTTATTCTCACTAAACTTAGGGGTCTAAGGCACCAAGGTCGGCCCTTTAGATTGTTATCTGGTTATTTTATATGCTAGTATGATCTGTTAGATCTGTATCCTAGAGGGTAGGATAATATTATGTGGTATGTGGTATGATTTGTTAGATTGGTATCCTGGTAGATAGGATAATATTATGTGGTATGTGGTATGATCCATTAGATCGGTATCCTGGTAGATAGGATGGTATTATGTGGTATGTGGTATGATCCATTAGATCAACTGTTGTCTATAGATTGTTATGTGATTATCTGTTATATGTGCACATGTTTGTTTAGCGGCTGAGGCTTATCTGCTTTGTGGGAAAACCAACAAACCTGGGCACTCCAACCTGTTAGTTGTGGGCCATGAGTATTCCATCCTGAGGATGATTAGACTCATAGTAGGTGGGCATTCCAGCCTATTGGTTGTGGCCCTGGGGTATTCCATCCCGAGGATGATTGGACCCATAGTATGTTGGCATTCCAAACTGATGGTTGAGGGCATGCGGTATTCCAATCCGATGGTTGACTGGACCAAAACATGTTGTTTATGATAATATGTGTATTGCTGTGAGTATGGGTATTTTGGGGGAACTCACTAAGCTTTTGGGCTTACAGTTTCAGTTTATTGTTTCAGGTACATCATGAGATCGCGACAAGGTGAAGGCGTGATCATACAACACCTTGTGTTTTATTACCGTTTCTAGGGAAAACTTTGATATAGACTATTTTGGAAACAAATTTATAATAATTGTTGGTTTTAAATGTTTTAAATTTGTCTAAACTTTATGGGTGTTACAATGGGCATGGCGTGCACATTGACATGCACCCTTAATTCCTTTTTAAAAATTCATATTTTCTTCATATGAAGTTTGTTTCTTATCCTCTTTGTATATTTGTATAGCCCTTTTCTAGAACTACAACTTTCCTTTAGGTTGCATCATCAAATTTTACTTTCATTTTTAACCCATATTTTTATATTTTATAAAAATCGTATATCTTTCGCACGACTTCCATTTTTGCCCTTCTTACTTTCAAAGTTCTTATCTCATTGTTATACTACAAATTTCCTATTTGCAGTGTTAGTCGAAACTCAACAACTCTCTTTTTTCCAATTCGACGTTAATAACATTATTAACATGGTTGGTTTCTATTCGTCATAAAATCATAACTCTTCCAATCAAAGTTGGATTTTCTCGACGTTTATATTTTTGGGACCACTATGTCGTGTATTTTCCAAATACACTAACCATTTTTACCTTTTTACTTTAGTTTCAACTAAACTTTCCATATTATCCTTCAATATGGGAAGTTTTTATCATTATGAGTCGATCCTAACTCCTAGTAATAATTAATGACAGAAAACTCTCAATTGTTACATTCTCACCCTATTTCAGGAATTCCGTCCTCGAAATTTGAGTCTTATCTAAACTTTAAACATGGAGACCAGTTTCTTATAAAGGAAGTCGATTAACTAAATTTCCTTTTTAGTTTTCTACTTCTGATTCTTTAACTTCATACTTAGCATCCAACATTTACCTTTTTGAATTCCTACCTAATCCTATTTTACACCTATAGGAAACCTAAAATTTCTATCAAATTTTGGTTAAGGATTTATGGAGGGATTTCTATGTTTTAATTAATCATTATAAATCTACTATTAAAATCAACTCTTATAAAGCGTTAAACTTCGAGGATTCCTATTATCCTTGAAAAAAGCTTACAATTATTTTTGTGGGGTTTCTTGCCCTTCACATTCCTATTTCTATTATTTGCAGTATTCCTTTGTTGGATTTTCTGACTCTTGCAGGCATCTACAATATGTCATGTCTTTCCATACTCCTTGCATATGAAAGCTTTACAACTACCGACATTGTACGGTTCACACTTACCGCACAAGGGAAATCTTCCTAAGTATCCTTTACAGGGAATAACCATTGGAGGCTTCCTTTCCTCCTTTCTCTTGTACAAGGGTCGGCTTGGTCCTTCCTTGTTGATTTTACCCTATTTTCTTCCAAATTCCTTGGCCTTAATCATGCCATCTAGGACTTTGGTTTCCCTAAAGTGTAACTCTAGCTGCTTAGTTTCCTTAAAGGTGTGGGGCTTGCGTGCTTGTATCTGCTTCTTGACATGAGGTGCTAGTCCTTGGAGATATGAACTAATTTTCTTGCTCTCTAAGCCAATCAGTTCTAAGCATACCATGGTTAAGTCATCAAAGCGTATGGTGTAGAAGGTTATTTTGGATTTCCTAGTGCTTAACCGATTAAATTCATGTTCTAGTCGGGCCATATTTCCCATAGGACAAAATTCTCTTATCATTTTCCTTTTCAAATCTTACCAAGAGATTGCATAAGCTGCATCTACTCCTAAGGCTTTTACCAGGATACTCCACCAGATGAGGGCCTTTCCCATAAGTGTGCAAGTTTCAAACTTTACCCTAACCTCCTTATTATACCTAATCTCCATCCCTTTGATCTAATGGATTAGACCATTTACTCCTTCATCTCCATAGAAGGGTCCTGGCTTACTATGAAGAAAATCTTGGTAGGTTTGGCTACCTTCCTTGCTGCTTCCTTCTACTTGGTTAACTTTGAGGTTCTCCAATGCATTAGAGACTTGATGTTGAATCATGGTTTGGATGTCGGTTGGGTTTAACAAGGTTAACATAGCAGAGTTGTTTTCCTGAAACAACAAATGAGAGGATTTTTGGGTTTTACCTAAATGGTAAATTATATTCCCTATATTTAGGGTACTTAGAGTTGCTCTCTTAGCAACATGTCTACTTATCATTTTTAATATTATTTTCTATTTTCGGATTTTTGGATTTACTGTTAGTAACATAATGTTGGTTGCTTTCCTTGCAAATTATTGATTATAGCATGTTGTCGTTGCTTCCCTAGCAACTAATTGATCATAGCATGCTGTCGTTGCTTTCCTAGCAACTTACTGTTGCTTTCCTAGCAACTTACTGTTGCTTTCCTATCAACTTACTAATCATAGCAAGCTTTCGTTGCTATCCAAGCAACTTATTGATCATCCCAAGGAAGTTCCTTTTTCCTTGTCATAAATTTTGACTCCTAAAAGATTTTATTATTTTAGAGAATCCAGAGGGTCAAAAATATCAAAAAGGAAAAATCTTGCTTATACGCATCATACACATGACCCGCACATTGCGCACAGACAACAGATCAACAATAAAGTTGATTTTTGGCTTCATTCGAACATTCCTTCTGTATTTATATGCTTTGTCGCTATCCGGGCCCACACATACGATGCACACTTGGCGCACATGCTTCCTTTCGTTAATTTCTTCATTTCGATCTATCTCTCTACTACCAGGTAACTCCTATGGTTAATCCTAACCTAAATTGTGGACTAAATTTTGAGTTTTTAGGGTTTTTAGAGGATTTTATCGATTTGCAATTTTTGGCTGTATTTTGTGAAATTGATGACTAATATAGCATCCTACACTACTGATTTTACTTCCTATATACTTAATTTTGGGTTTAATTCATTTATTAATTCTCATTTTGAGTTTTTTAGAATTTGCATATTTTGATCTAAAATCGAAATTTAATGTTGTTTTGGACGAAATGAGAAGCCTATACGTGTCATAGAGGACTAACCGAACATCCCTAATTGATTTTTAGGTTGGAAATTGGACAAAACAGTGGGTTACCATGCATGCCTGCTGTTCTTCGTGTTATTGGGGAGCGCTGCACAGATGCACGTGCGCAGCATGCACTCGCATGCAACATGCATCTATCGCGTCTGCCTTATCTTAATCCATTTTTAAGTGATCTTAACTTATTTCTAATTATGTATTTACATCTTATTGTAGATATGTCGAGACGAGGTCGATAGGCTGTGGGTCAGTTACCTCGTAACTGGCCAATGCATCCTTTCCTACAGTCCTCGATGACCTTCCTGATCGGAGCACTTTCATTTCTTTCCTTAGCGCCCTTCTATCCAAGAAGGTCATCATTCCTCTGGCACTTTCTAGGAATATGGCGGGTATACTGCTTTGGTGGCTCGGCTGGCGCCGTTTCTCACTTGGATACTGCGGGATGATAACAATCTCGAGCTTTTCGTGTGCCACAGATGGTGGTGGGTCATTGGGATTCGGGAAGTGATATACCAGGAGCTATGCTAGGAGTTCTTTTAGACAGTCAGTTTTGACAAAGACTCAAGTCTTTGGGCTGATCGATCAGTGTTTTCTTTTCGCATGGGAGGCGTATCCCGCTCATGTAGCCTCATAGAGCTAGGTAGACGTCAAGGGATTTACACTGCTGAGGAGACTCTGATTCGTCATTTTTATGCATTCTTAGATAGCTGTATCACTATTCCTCCGCAGGAGTATGACTACATGCAGGTTTGGGCCCTTTCTCGGGGGACCTATGTCTCCCGGTCGGCCAAGGAGAGCGCCTTACCTTCTCCTATTTATCGGTTTCTTCACCGACTGGTCGCCTCCACCATTTGTCACAGAAAGGAGTGTGACAAGGTTCCTTCTAGCAACCTTTTCAACATGTGGTGCCTCACCCATACGGAGGTTTGTCTTTAAGACAAATCCTATGGGGTTAACACTAGTAGGATGGTTCCCATATCTATCTGGGAGCTGAGTACTACTACTCTCGGAAAGATGTGGGTTTTGACTAGGGTGGTGGGGTAGCCTTAGAGGATACCGGAGGATGACATCGTCAAGCTGATTTGGCAAGTGGAGCTGTAGGTCATTCCTGATCCTGCCTTTGGGAGACGTCAGAGACCTAGGCATGTGGATCCTGATTGTCCAGAGCCTACTCTTGATGACATGATGCGGGGTCTTGTTGCTGTACAAGAGGAGCGTTATTGGATGGTGCCAGTACTTCAGGCACACGTCCTGGAGATACTGACAATGAAGACCCCTTTTCAGCCATGCACCACTAGTCACGATGGTGCCGGTACTTCAGAAACACATCTCGGAGATACTGACGATGACGACGATGAGGGCACCTAGACGGAGTCGGAGAGTAGTAAGGAGTATATTTGTGGATTTTTTTTGTATTTTGATTATGTATTCTGACATAGTTTACTTGGTCTGGGATTGTATTTATATATTTATGTTTTTTATTTATTATTTGTCTATCCCAACTCAGTTTTTGTATTTGTTCAATCAAGACTAAGCATAGTTGATCGGGCTACACTTAGGAGTGACTCAACTTCTACACACTGAATTTTTCCTGGATATTTATCTTTATTTGTTGTGTTTCTATATATTTGGGATTGGCAGTTTATTATTGTGTTGTTCTTCTATACTACATATGGTTCGTCCATGTAGGAAAAGTCGTTGGGCAGGATCATTTTGGCATATAGTTGTTTTGAAACCCACCAACCTAGTGTTACAGTTCCAGTCTAGTCACCTTTCCAATACATAATCTATCGGTAGAAAATTTTATAATATATTTTTTATAGGTTTGAGGACAAACCCTATCGGAGTATATGACCTAAGCTATAGTTGTAATTCCTAAAGAAATGCTAAGTCGCGATTCATAAGGAAATACTAATTCTCTATAGAAAAAACATATGCTCTGATACCATCTCTGTCACACCCCCTAACCAACCTTTAGTGTAAACACCGTAGCAGTGTGACAGTATAACGAGCACCAATCTTACTAACGTAAGAATACACGTATTTCGAAAGTGATCAATATAATGTTGGTGAGTGCACGAGTTTTTATTTTTTAATCTTTTTAAGAATCCTTTTCTTTGAGAGAACCTTTCTTAATTATTGACTTAGCTTTCTATCTTTTTAGGATATCTAATGATCATAGCGTCTTATAATTAGGATATCTTTTATTAATCCTAATTTGCTATCTTTTTAGGATATCTAATTATACTAACCTATTTTAATTAGGATATCTTTTATTAATCCTAATTTACTATATTCTTAGGATATCTAACGATCCTAACATATTTTAATTAAGATATCTTTTATTAATCCTGATTTATTATCTTTTAGGATATCTAACGATCCTAACGTATTTTAATTATCATATCAGGCGTCCCTAATGGTAATCTAAACTCCAAGACAATTTTTAATATATTACCGTGAGCATCTATAATCAACGATATGACCGTAAATGTACCCCAAATCATGGCGCTTCATCGGACGTTGAATGATAACTTATATGGAAGGTATCCTGTCGGGATTGTAGCTAGCAATCGCAGGTGGGGTTGTCATGGGCCTGTATAGATCTATACATAACTTCCTAGCTCTCGCAAGACTAACGATTATAGGTATTGAGGATATCTCGAATTTAATCAAGGCTTTTGGATGAATAACCAACTTACTAACGCATTAACCCTAGGCTTTTATCTCTTATCTTACCAAAATTACCTCTACGCATATATATATATATATATATATATATATATATATATATATATATATATATATATATATAACCTTATAAAGCATTTTTAGTCAAATGTTGAATTTTAAATCGTTGAATTTTAAGTCGTACAAATCCTTATGCAATATGTACAATAAATTTATACATCCAATCTTAGTTGGTCAACATACATATAGTTTTTAACCATATCTGATTTATTATCCCCTCCAACAACCTCCCCACTATTTCGCCCTTTCTTTGGCCCTTATAATCATATACCTTGGCCATTTATATAATTTATACAATACATATGCTCTTCTCCATTCACCATCTATGCATTTACCTCCGCCACCACTCTCCTCTTTCTCTATAACCGAGGACCAACACCTCATCACACCATCGTCTCCACCACCTCACACCTAATACCACCGTCGCCATCAACTCCGTATCACAACACCACTGTCGCACCACTATTACACCGCCATCACCAGACACTCAAGCATCAACATTATCCTCCTTCTCCCCTTAATTGGAGATTACCGCAAGCCTATAACCATACCTTACTCCATCTTCAGCTACCTGGACACCCTCCTTGACGATCGGTGCAATGAGAAACCCTAGCCACCATAATCTTCAAACTCATTCATCAGAGACCATCGCAAACTCATTCGATTATTCTAGGTAAGTATCAGCTCCAGGTTGTGGTTAGGTTTTTTTTTTTTTTTTGCCTTTTTAGATCTCTATTTATATTTTATCTTTTTCATTCTCTATCTAATTTCGATTTTCCATGGACGAAGAAGTCTGGGAAAATATGATAAATACCATTACCACCAACATCACCAAAATCTGAAAGAGCCTCAAGCCTTCAACCCTAAATCGGCATCCCCAACTTCTATTCGAACAAGAGGTTTTGGCTCCCCAGAAACACATCTATTTTTGTGCCTTCTGATATGGATTATCTTTTGTAATGAAATTGAGCAAAAAGTACATTCAATCTCTATAAAATGCAGCTAAATCGGACCGGTAAACATCTTTATTTAGTCCCCTTTTCATCTTTTTTTGCATATGTATTTTCTTTGAATCTAGCATGTAGCATCCCTATTGTTTCCTTTTTTAACTAATTTATTTGGGTTTACATTTATCAGGTCTTTGGAACAATAAAGACGTTATCTTTAAGAAGAGCAAGTTTTTTTCTTCAATGTTGTATTTCGGTCACTGAATCTTCTCAATTTCAAGAACCTAACTTTATATTTATGACTTTGAAGGTTTCTTTGCCTAAAACCCTCAAAAAATCGTTCAATGTAAGGAATGTAGCTCAAGCCTTTAATATGCATGATTCCAGTAATGGTGGTATTTTTCTCACATGCTATTTACTTTATTTCTACATCAGATCACTATTTTTAATATTTATGTACCAACAAGTGTGACTGTCTTTATCAGACTTGAAACATTGTCCTGGTTGAAGATTACAATCAATTAAATTAGAACAAGTCAGTTATTAGTTTTAAATCAAACCATTAGATGGACGTGTTTTATAGAAAATCATAATTTAGTTTTATTTTTCTACATAAATAATGTGATGTGTGCTTTAACAGGTGTCAAGATGACTAGATGAAACTCCTTAACAAAGTCTTGGAGGTGCACTTAGTAGAAAAGAACTGGCAAGGCATGATTTATTATCATTTAGTGTATTATTCCTTGAGACGATAACTTCAGTGTGATTTTTAAATATGTATAGGGTCATCAAAGAAGTTGCAGAAGCTTGAAATTATAAATTATAATCATTCTTGGGTGTTTTCTATTTCTATATATATATATATATATATATATATATATATATATATATATATATATATATAGTAAGGGCATTTTGGTCTTTTAATGACTAAATATATCATTTTTACTATTATATGCAGGTGGTATAACCGTATAACCATATGAATTCTGCTATGAATAAGGAGGCTTGGTATATGGATCTAACCAGCCATATTAGGGTCCAGGTCTGAATCTGTTATATCTAATTATAACATTTTACTTTGGGAAAATCTATTCAGTTATAGCATTCTACTTTGACAACTTTATCCAATATGAATTTTTTTTGCATGTTAGAGTAATATCTTAAAACCACTGATAGCAACAAGGTTTGAAATTTCTTAAAACCACTGATAGCAACAAGGTTTAAAATTCTCTATTTAGCTAGAAATTTCATAAATAAGGTTTGTCGGTTTTTTTGGTTTCAAATAACTAAAAAGGATTCTTGTGTTTTATATTTTTGGTTTAAAGTGCTCTGTATGTCTTAAAATAACTAAAAAAAGGTTTCTTTTCTATTATATTTTGATTATATCTCTTTTCCTATACATCGGCTTGGATTTTAATTAAATGGTTAATCACTTGGCATTTTAATGAAGCGTGTGGGCGGAGAAAACATAGAAAGGAAAAAAAAAAAAAAGCTAACAGTTTTAAGGTAATCCATTTTTCTCACTATCTTACATTGCGTGATACCAAATTAGTAAATACTAAACTAGATATCATTGAATAAAAAAGATACAAGTTATAAAATATATGCATTAATGTTTACAAAATTTGGGAAATATATCATTGTTAGGATATTTAACTTTTGTGAATTGATTTTCTTTATATTTTGATGATGATAAGTTTTTTTAAAGTATTTCAGCTTAAATTGCTATCATGGGTACCAATATGTTTTGGTCTTTCTCTTCATTTTTAAGAATATGATCAACATAAACATTTCAGTGCATCTTCATAACATTGTCTATGATGGTTGTTTAACAAGAAGTACTTTGAAAGACCATGGGTATGGGTGAAATCAAACACAACACACATAGAAATGTCTTCACAAGATAAAATGAATTGGACTTCTTTTTAGCATCTATCTCCAATTAAAGGATGCATTTTTCGTATTATTTTAAAGTTCAATACAAAGACAGAGCACGGGTCTTTCTCCAGTTGGTACACAAGCCTCGTCGATTTAAGCTGAAATGCAAGCCTTTGTCTACTCAGGCTTAAAAGAGGGGGCAGGCGACATTGGTAGAATTAGAAAAAAAAAAAACTTAAGTGAATGTGATTTACATTGGTTATTTATTGTAGGGGAAGTCGATGGACTTAAAAAAATGCAAGTGAGGGTGATGATGTACTTTGGTTATTTGTTGTTTAGATGTGGCATCCGAACATGAAAACCTAGAGTTAGGTTGTTGTAAATTGTGGACAATAAGTGCCAGAATTAAACTTGCAAACATATTATTAGTTTTTATTACAAGAGTTTTTCAATAGTTTGTATAGTAATGGACAGGAAACTATAAATAGTTTTGCTTGATGTAAAAAACGAAACTAAAAGGCAAAAACAAACTTAAGTTCTTTTTTAATAAATAAATTATGTATGAAAATAACTAGAGTATAATTCTTATATAATTTAATTTACATGTATCATAATAATAAAAATATTAAATTACAAAAATATCCCTATAGTTTATTAAATATAGTTTATTAAAAACTACATATTAAGTCTAAACTTCTAAAAACTAGACAACATGCCATGTTTATGGAGAAAGGGTTGAAAACCAAGTGTTTTTTTTTGTGAAAATTTCACTACTTTTAATTAAAAAAA